GAAAAAAAAAACTCCCAAGGACATGGGTAAATCTTGAGAGAGAACAGTTTACTTTATAACCTCATTCGCATCACCCTGGCTGCATTGTTTCACTCTCTTAACAATAAAATGAAAACATGATATGAGGAACTGCCTGTTTTCATTTTGATATTAGCAACTTAACAGACACCAAAAACGTTGAGGCGTCGTGTAGCTACATATTTATATGAGCGTCATCTTCACTGTATGCATATTTATAACAAAACAGAGCTTATAACATAACTGCCGCCTTTCATTTTCATTGAAAATACAAAACATACCCTTTCTTTTGCTGAATATCAGTTTTAATAATCACTAATGGCCTTTATTAAAGTATAACGTACAATTAATTAATACTTTATAGGAAATAAATGCAAGCGCTCAGTCAAATATGCAGAATCAGAGTACATGGTTACATAAATTAATATATTAACTTATCTTTGCACTCAGCTCACGTTACCTGAGAACAAGTAATAGATTCAAAAGACCAAAGTCAGGGAATATGTCATTAGATATAGACAACAAGATGAATTAAATATCACGTTTAACAAATATAGTGAGATTAGATCAAGCAGTAGATCCTTAAAGTATAGTGCAACGTGCACAGTTCTTAACTGGGCCTAAAAGAAATATCTTTCATTTAATGGGCCCAAAAGAAAGATGCAGAATTAAAATGAAGGATAACAAACAAAAGGGAAAGGAGTAAAAGCAGGGATGCATTCAAAAGAGAAAGAGCCAAAAGGCAAGAAAAAAAACAGCAAGTAAGGAGCAAAACTAATTAAGAAATATAGCAAGAAAGATGGAAGCTATCAAAAAAATGATTCCAAAAGAAAACAATCAAGTAGAGAAGGGTCAAATAAGCAAAAATAAAACAAAACAAGCGAGAAAGAAAGTGGCAAAAAGGGAAAGGCAAAAAAATACTAACAAGAAAGAGTCAAAAAAGATTATCAAGAAATGCAAACATACATGAAAACAAGAAAGAAAGAGGCAAAAAGACGAGCAAGCAAACAGGAAATAGCCAAAAAAGCAAGACTTACAAAAGAAAGCAACATAAAAAAAAGAAAAGACCAGAGTAACAGGATAGGAAGAAGATCCATCCAAAACCAGTACTTATGGCTCTTAAGGACACACACCCAAGTCAATTACTACCCAGCCAGTCACTCACCACACATTATATACACACAACTCCAACTTGGTCACACATAGCTCTCAGCTTTAGCTTGTTCTAGTGCAAGGAAAGTTTTATTTACAGTAATGCACAAGGCTTCCTCTCAAAAAAAAAAAAAAAAAAAGTTAAGACTATTCTGCTTCAACGTTTTTCCTACAGATCAACAATATGGAAGCCAGTGGCCATTTGAAGCATTCCAGAAACTATAGCTATCCAACTCTGGTATACTGCGAGTGACAGGGTGTGGGCATGAATTCCTAGTGCAATCTAGTATAGGTCAGGCAGCACGTCTTTGTGTGGTCAGCAAAGGTATGCGCTCTTTTATTCGTTATGACTGAGAAAGGGTGTGTTTTATTAGTGAAACACAGTGTAAACGTCAATACTGATTAAACCGCAAAGCAGCGTGCATGTCAAATTTCTACATTTTAAAGAAGTCTCACCACCAAAGGACAACTTACCATCCTTTTTCTTTTTCTTTTTTATTTTTTTGGAAAACGAAAGGTTTGACCCCACCTACGCATTTACCCATAGTTCCCTGATCTGGCTATTCGACAATGATTGCCTTTAATCAACAGTACATCCATCAACATGAGTCAGCTCTGGCCTGGAGCTCTCCACAGGGAATTCCTCAGGCCGGCAGTAGTTTGGAAGGTTCCTTAATAAAGCTAGCAGGAATGCATCATTGGAGTGAAAGAGGCGCTGGTGGGGGGGTCTGAAGAGGGGGGCCTGTCTCTGAACACAGCGCTACATTGTTCTGCTACCTTTGCATTCCATTCTCCACCTTTACACTACAGTCTCCTCCCTCTCCAAAGTCTGACACTTTATCTTTTCCCCTTCTAAACCATGCACACACACACCTGTTCCCACAATCCTAAGTCCATAAAACAAGGAATGTGTGTGAACCAAAAATATGCATGTGCTTGAGCTTGAGAATGGTAATGTGTAACCGCTACAATTAAAAAAGTCATAATCCAGTTGCCCTATTTGAGACTGTGCTATCATTCTCTTGCTTGTTTTTTTTTTTCTCCACCTGTCACTGCATGTGGCTGAATTGTGGAAATATGTTAAAGTGTTGAAGTTAGAGGACGTTTAAAACTGAATTATTCTTAGCAAGTCCTAGCATGCTGGTGCTCTCATTTCTGCAGTCACAAAGAATTTATTTGGACTGTCACTTGGTGGATCTCGCTCGCTCTGGGGTGGCAGAGACAAAAACACAAGAGGGTGAATATAAAAAAAACAGTTGGTGACAGTGACATGTGGATAATAAAAAGAGAAATTGTCACATCCTCAAAGCCAGATTTACCTGGCTTTGAAACGTTCTGCCTAAAGCACAATAGGTTTGCTTCAGTCGTTGGCGTCTGAACTTGTGTTTCAAAGAATGCTGGGGTCATGGAAGTCAAATGCACAGTGAATAAAGCAAACAGGTTTTGAAGCACTTGAAAGTTTAAGATTAACAGAATGAGCAAAACGGCAGGTGGTGAGCAACTTCAAATATGCTAAATAAACTGCATGACAAGTGAAGAATGCAGAAGGACTAGTTAAAAAATTGTCAATAAAAAATAGTAAAGCATTAATGTATGGTATGGATGCAGATAGGTAACTCAATATGTGAACTATAGAGAAAGAAAAATTAAGCAGTGTTGGGGTAACACATTACAAGCAACGCAGGATACATAATAATATTACTTTTATAAGTAACAAATAAAGTAAAGGCTGATTTATACTTCTGTCGCTGACGTGCACCTCTCAAAAAATGTAACTACACGTCGCAAAGACGCGTAGCGCAAGCTCTGTGATTGGTCGGCTTGGTAGCGCTGATGAGTCTGGGCGGGACAGAGAGCCGCGCGAATGGTGCAAGCTTGATGCAGCGTTTGTTTACAAGTGTGAAGTCTCGTGAAGGAGCTCTGAATGGAAAGTTTTGTTTTGTGTTAACCTCATAGTTAAAGTTGTTGCTCGTCTGCCAGTTCCTGCCTCAAAATGAGTGAGTTTGAGCCACTTATACATTCAGGAAGTGTTCAGGAAAAGCAAAACATCAGCGAAGAAACTCGACACAGATGAGCATTTACACCTCAATGCAAACTAGCGTTTTGGAAGTGTAATGCAGACCAACAGAGACAGCGCGCAGAAGTATAAATGCACAGCTACGCGCGTTGCATGCGCCGTGGGTTACGTCGGTCACTTGACGCAGAAGTATAAACCCGGCATAACGCATTGCTTTAAAAAAATAAGTAATTATATTTGAGTTACTTTTTAGAAAATGTAATGAGAGTTACTTTTTAGTTTAATTAATTAGCAATTAGTAATTAATTAATTCATTATTTTTTTGTTCAATTAAATAGCTTTTAAAAAATAAATTGCTTAATTCAAACTAAAGTAGTCACAATGAATCACGCAGTCAATGAGAGAATGTGTTCATTATTTTGTAAGCATTTAGGAAAAATAAAAGGGGATTGTCTCAATGCACAGTGATTTTACTTCAGACAAATAATGCAAAAGTAGCAAACACATTGCTTTAAACTTTCTATTGAAAGTTACAGTTTCTATCTGTATTAGGGCTGTGCGATTAATTAACATCGAATCACAATCGCAACTTAAAACGTTGCGATTAGCTAAGCGCAAGAGGCTGTGATATGAAATATATATGTATTATTTAATTTTCCCCGCCCAAATTAAATGTGTGACTGCCGTCTGTGTGTGATAGTCTTGTTAGTCAATTGGGTGAGCACACTTTGTTCTGCCCAACCAGATTTGCTTAACCGAACTATGCGGAACGGCCACAATAAAACAAAAAAAAGGAAAGCTCCGACAATTGGAATAATGGCGTCTGCTACTTCAGAAGCATTAATAGACAAATTAATATCAAAGAAACATATGGCATCGGTAATACGGGAATATTTTGGTTACTGTAAGTCACAGACACCAAACAAATACAGGTAATTTTTAAGAGCTGTTGCAGAATTGTTGCCACTGCTTACAGATTATTGAGCTGAAGCTTTACAACAAAGTTAAATCGCAATCACAATATCTGTCCAAAAAAAAAATCACAATAAGATATTTTCCCCAAATCACACAACCCTAATCTGTAAATACAGCATGTATAGCTCTGGTATCAGAAAGTTCTCAGTTAACATTATGAAAAATATTTTTTTATGTGTTTTTTTAAGGTAAATGAAGGTTTAGGCTATACAGTGCATTGCTAATTGCAGAATTCCTCTATAAAAAAATTTTCTTAAAAAAGCTCTGAAAGAGATCAAGCGTTAACCAGGTATAATAAATAGTAACGCAAAAGTAACTCAAAAGTTACGCAACACATTATTTACCCAAAAAAGTAACTAAGTAACACAACTAGTTGCTTTTTTGGGGAGTAACTCAATGTTGTAATGCATTATTTTCAACAGTAACTTTCCCAAATACTGAAATTAAGTATGGTACTAAAGTATAATTACAGTGAATAAAAACAACAATGGGGAGATTTACACACACACACACACACACACACACACACACACACATATATATATATATATATATATATATATATATATATATATATAAATATATATACACATTTCTTTTATAGACAGAAAACAAATCACAAGCATGCATGGTAAAGATAGATAAAATCCACAATAGTATAAATCATTTCTGTAACATAATAGAATAATTCACCTAATTATATAATTCGACTTAAATGCTAATCACAATCCATGTGAAATTCTAGTCAATACTCCTGACCCAGACCCGAAATCTTAAGTGACAACAGCTGTTGCTGGCCTTGATCTGTGAAAAGCAAACAAAGAAACGTATGTCTCACCTTGGCAAGTATCTTCAAGGGCTTCGAACCCGGATTCGCACTGGCATTGGCTCATAGGTACGACCCATTCCCCATCCGTGGTGCAATAAATGCGAGGTTGGTCCTCACTGATAGCATTTTTGACACAACTTCCAGCCACCTCCCGCAATGCTTGATTCTCGCCCCCTGCCACTGTCTCAGGGAATGCTGCCAAGCTCTGCACTGTTGCAGGACATGTTTTATAGTAAACCCTGACAGAGTAGATGGCTACGCAGGCTCCAATGTCCTGGAAGCCCAGGTAGAAGCCCTTACGTGAAAGATTATCCACCACTTTAGTCTCAGTGTTCATCTTCATCTTTCCACGGTCGGATATTTCATCTGGAGCAATGGTGGCCACCTTTCGGAACAGGCCTTTGCGGAAAGCAGTGCCAATGTCCGCATCAGCCTCGGAGGTGTACAAGTTAAAGGTCTCCTTGCAGTTAAGCGGGACTGCTTCGAAAGTGTTGCAGTCGCGGACATTGAATTGCAGCTCCACAAAGACCCGAGATGCAGCAGGGTTGCGCTGGATAAATGTAGTACGGAGCCAGTTGTCTTGTTCTCCTTTCTCCACGTTACATACATAATAGTTATACAACAGAGAGCCATTCACAGCCTGCTGGCCTATCTCCCACTGCAATGTGAAATAAAAAAATGGATGTTAGCAATAAAGTCAAAACCAAGATTGTGGAAAAAAAAGAAATCAAAGAAAAGATGCCAACGAATGCTGAGGACGAAAATGTCCTGACCGTGGAATTTTAAGTAGTAGTGAGGATGCTGGTCAATTACCCACCAACTTCTGGCAAGAAACAATACAGCAGTCTTTCTACACCATGACTGATGTAATATGCTGTAACATATCTGTTCACATGCAGTGTGCATGTGTGTTTTAGCTCTGATTTCATGTGCCACTGTGATATTAATTACAGGAGAGGTGCATTGTTTTCATAGTGTGTGGCATGGCAGTAAAATGAATGCTTCCATATAAAAGGAACTTTGTGGTTTAAAGCATTTCATACATTCGAAAGATGTTGAACTCTTTAAATAAACAGCAGCTCATTAAGAGTGCAATTAACTTTCTATAAAGTTGAACATGCTGACACCTTGTTCAAATTCTTAATTTCTCAGCTTTTTCCATGACAGTGGAAGGGAAAATGCATTAAATTTAACGACCTTGTGTGCATTTGTTTTTTTTCCACAGTTTTCAAATTCTGTTATAAACTGGTCATGCACAGGAAGAAGACGTAACAAGTCTGTACATGCCATCTCAGATCATTTTAGTAACACTTTTAGAACAGCGTTTTGAAATACACTAGTTAATTTAGGTTTGTCAACCAGATATCAGTTTCAAAACCCAGACTATCCTAAAATGGTATATGCAATACAAATTTAATTTAAACTAGGACCAGCTATAACCTAAACCAGCTATGTTCTACTAAAGCAAATCCTTTTGATTTCAAAACCCATTACTTTTCTAAATTCTAGTTAACATTATAGCTTCAACTCACGTCACACAAAGCACCATATGCGCCAAACTTTAAAAGTTAATTACACCCTCAGTTTTACAGACACTAAAACAGGGCTTTAAATTCGCACGAGACTACAAGTGTTCAGCAGTCAAGAAACTACCAGCAATCCTTTAATCGTCCCCAGGAATGTTTTGAGTCAAATACAAGAGCTAAAAGTCTTTTCATTTGCAAATGAAGTGAAACAATCGAAAAGAAATGCATGCAACAGTACTCGTACATAAGAAGTGAACTCACCCCATCCTTAACAGGCGATGTCAACCAACCCAACTCAGCTCCCGATGCCACCATATCCAATAACACCTCTGTGACAATAACGCAAAATTTGCATTTATGACATGTTTCTTAAAAATAGAGAGCAATTTATAAAGCTATATTAACTAGATTACACACAAAATACACATGGTTCATACAAAACAATAAATTAGTAAATGTAAGCTATGTTACTACTGATAATAAAACATTCCGTCAGTCATAATAAAAAAGCAAACGTCCCGTGTTGCAAAGTCGCCAGGTTAATTATTTGTAGTAGCTAGGGAAATTGCGCACTTCGCTTACTAGAAATTAGCTTTTTTACTTGATTTAAATTCGAAAGGTCTTGTTTTAATTAATTGAGAGAATTTAGCCAATTTTAAGTTGTATAATGTGTTTAGTAAACATTTTTGACAATTTCAACATTTATAAAAAGTAGGCTGGTACAAATTAAAATCCCCAATTAATCGCACCGGTTAGACTACGTTCAAACTCGTTAACATTTAAAACACTTAACATTTGTACTCACAAAAATGTATTTAATAACAACATGAGAATTAAACATCGTTTGCGCATTTGTGTTTTCTTTAAATAGCCTAGTCTAAACCATGCGAGTCAACCTGAGTGAGAAAGTTTTAGAAAGTCTCTCAGAGTATAAACCGTACCACCTACCTTCCTTTTTCTGAAGAGAAATAAATACAAAGTTCATAAATACATTGACAAATAATACACGCTTAATCCGTCTGTAATCCATGTTGTGCTCGGAGTGGACAGTGATGTTTGCTGCTCCACGCTCAATCCAGTTGCTGTTCAATCCAGTTGCGCTCTCGACAGCCTCATTGAGAAGCGCGGCGCGTCATCAACCCCGCCCCTCGGAATGTGATCGATGTCTTTATAGGAAGGAGGGGTGGCTGCCTGGCTGTGGGCATTCACATGTATGAGGTTTGTCCCAGGACCCCGCCTCCGACCTTCCTTTCAGCCTGGGACTTACCTGTGAAATTTAGTGGAGCAAAAGTGTACATTTTTTAAGCGTCAAATAACCAAATAACCACTTGAACAAGGATTTTGCAGTGTTGTATGTATCTTCGTTATCTCAGTTTTATCAATTTAAATATTTTGAGTTAGTATTTAATATTAAATTTAATAAATAACTAAATAACAATAATAATAGAAATAATAATAATAAATAAATTCCAAAATATGTAAATGTATGTTTTATTTTATTTTTTACAATTATTTTATTTATGAATTTTATGGCAAATTACAGAAAAAAGACAAAAACAAGTTTAGATAGTATCAATTCAAGCAAATACAATGAAATAAAATAGGGGGAAAAAACTTTCTAACAAATAAAAAGATAAATCATAATGTGGCTTAACAAAAGCTACAATTGTACAACAAATAAATGAATGAATGAATGAATGAATGAATGAATGAATGAATGAATGAATGAATGAATGAAACATGTTCTTGGATAGAGTTCCTAAATGGGTCCCCAATTTTCTTAAACTGGTTAGATGAACCTCTAAACCAGAGATGCCCAAAGAAGGTGCATGGGCCAGGGTTAGCCCATTTTAACCTTTAATTTGACCCACCATCCCATTTGAGAGGATAGTGAGTATGATGGAGCAGATTGAGGTGAATGCCTTTAACACAGAGATCATCATTTCTAATTTGACGTAACCTTTTTTCTTAGTTTTATTGCTGAGCTACAAAAAAGCAAACTGAATTTAAATGTTTCCATTAAATGTAAATGAATCAGATATTTTTTTAATGTAATAATTTTCACTCGATAGATAGAGGATGCAGAGTATCAGAAAGGAAATCAAGGCAAAAAGCTAGTGTAAGTCGGGTATAAATAAGATTTTTATGTTTTTACTGTAATACGTTTATTATAAAATCTAATAAAAATTACTGTATTAGTTAATAAAAAGCAATGTTTTCTAGTAATTTTTTAATAAAAATTAAATATTATATTAAATAAATATTAAATAAATAAAAAAATTGCCCATGGTAAATTACCCCACCTATATTAACCTTCAGCCCACTAGCCTCAATCAAGTTTGGTTTTTGGCCCTTCATAAGAAAAATTTTGGGCACCCCTGCTCTAGACAGTCTATTTTTGTTCCAACTTAAGGAAAAAGAGGACATCACAGATTCACTGTGTTGGGGCTAAAATGTGTAAATTTAATTTCATAAAACAAGTTATTCTAGAACTTAAAGCTGATTGTTGAAAAGCTGTATTTTATTTGGAATAAAGCAATGACTGGAATGACTGGGAATAGTGGTTGAAACATAAAGAACATAAAAAGTAAACTGTAGCCTTATTATGTGTACAGTATACAGCAAACATTTGATATGCCTATGTATAATATCTTATTGATTGTTTTTAATATTGTTTATTTATCTGAATTGTTAAAATTGTACATTACTATTAAACAAAGTGAAAATACTAATTTATAATAAAAATGCTAAGGCCACTTCATTAACAATCAATACAGTGAAAACACTCCCACGTATTTATGTATTTAGGAAAAAACTGTTGCTATTTAATTGAATATGATTGCCAGTACAGTGTCATCAACCTTTAATTTTGAGACTACACCCTTCCCCCGGAGAGATAATCAGATGTATGTGTGTGTGTGCCTGTGTGAGAAAATATCATATAACGTGTTTAAAAACTAAATGACACAGTACATGAGAAACTCTGTGTTTTATTTGAATATCATCAGATGAAGCAGGGCTCATACTACACATCAGCTTTTGTTCAGGACCTGTGTTTTTGTGAGGTTCTTCCCAGATTATCTGGTAATGTGAGGCTTTTGTAGATTGAATCTTAAACCTCACCGCAATCATCATGAAAACACATTAGGATCATATTTAAAATGTAAATAAGTCAGGAAGGTCAGTACGTGTCAATTGGATAGGGGAGATAAAGAAACCACATAGACATTTATGTCAAACTCCAGACATGTTGATGTGTTCACACACACACACACACACACACACACACACACACACACACACACGAAAATCTTCAAATTTCTGAAAAAATTGGATATAACCGTTCAGAGATGAGGATGTATATTATTTATACTGTACATTACAGGTTTTAGGCACGGTGGCGCAGTGGGTAGCGCAGTCACCTCACAGCAAGAAGGTTGCTGGCTCGAGTCCCGGCTGGGTCAGCTGGCATTTCTGTGTGGAGTTTGCATGTTCTCCCCATGTCGCATGGGTTTCCTCCGGGTGCTTCGGTTTCCCCCAAGACATGTGGTACAGGTGTACGAGTGAGTTTGAGTGTGAATGGGTGTTTTCCAGTGTTGGGTTGCAGCTGGTTGGGCATCCGCTACATAAAACATATGCTGGATAAGTTGGTGATTTATTCCGCTGTGGTGACCTCTGATTAATAAAGGGACTAAGCCGAAAGAAAATAAATGAATGAATGAATTACAGGTTTTAAACAACAATTAAGTTTGAATGTGTTTGCTAATATCAGCTTGTTGAATTTGTTGATTGAGTTGTTTATTAACTTAAACGTAAACACTTCACAGCTAATAGAAACACCCACTATTGATACATCCAGGAATATTTATCTATAATAGAAACTGCTAACTGATAATTGACAACAATACAACTGCCTATTTAAAGTGATAGTTTACCCAAAAATTTTGCCATCATTTACTCTTTCTCCACTTGTTCCAAACCTGTTTGAGCTTTTCTTGTGTTGAACACAAAGGAAGATATACTGAAGAATGTTGGAACAAAACACGATTGACTTCTATTGTAATATTTTGCTGCAACAATGGATGTAAATGGCTGCTTTTTTCCTTCATAACATTCTTCATAATATCTACAGTAAAAATAAAGACATAAAAGGTTAGAAACATTTAAGCGCGAGTGGGGAAACAGCCATTTTTAACCGCAAAGTATCAAAACAAGTACCACATTCATTCGCAATAAGCTAATGGTGTTTACTGTTTTCTTGAAGAACTAAAGAATATAACGACTTTTTCCCATTTAAATTCTTCTATTGTGCACTCAAAACTTATGTTTTATTCAAACTACTCTTTCAAAATGAGCTGAAACAATACAATTCTTCATTTTTAGGACAACTTAATGGTTTTATGTTCAATCCACTTAAATTTTTAAAAACTAATCAGTTTAAGTTTAAGTGAAGTTTAAAGTCTTTCATGTTGTCCCAATACAAATAGATTGCGTGGAACCCAGCATCTTTTACAGATTTAGGATTTTTATATAGTATATACATTTAAATATATTCACAATATAAAATAGCTTTTTATACATTATTGCTCAAACATTAAAATATATATATATATAGTTTCATTTAGATTATTTAATTTTTTATTATGGTATTTATTGTATGTGTGATGCTAATAAAACGTTGACTATTAAGATGCTGTCTGGCAAAGAAATGTATCAACTGTAATCAGAACTTGAATACAGGACTTAAATCTTGACAAAAGAGTCCCATAGCAACTCTCAGGAATTTTGGAGTCAAGCTCCTTGTGTTTGAAACCCTACTTAACTGCTCCACTGATAGCCACACGGTGCAGTCACCAACAAAAAGTGCACCCGTGAAAGGGTTTACTTGACAGAGAAAATTTTACGACAGTCTCCCCACTGTAACTGCATTTAGATAAAAACAGAAGATATTTTTAGTGTATAACTGATACATTAATTTTAAACTTGCTTAAACTCTTCAACAAAGGTTTGATTTCGAAACACTCTTGAATTTTGTTTGCTGAGCTGCTCTGCTTTTCTCAAAATATCCACACCTCTGACGACAGTGTATCCACAAGGTCTGTCACACCAGCGGCTGCTCCCAACATTTCAGAGATTTTTTTGGTTAACAATGCCATCTCTTTAACTTCCCCACACCGCTATTCTCACCTCACTCCCCTTTTTTCCACACATGCATATCAACCTGGGTGACTAATCTGAGAAAGAAAAAGCACTAAGAACGTCCCTAAAATTTTTTAATGATATACAGTTGAAGTCAGAATTTTTAGCCTCCATTTGATTTTTTTTCTTTTTAAAATATTTTTCAAACAAAGTTTAACAAAGCAAGAAAATTTTCACAGTATGTCTGATAATATTTGTTTCTGGTAGAAGTTTTATTTGTTTTGTTTTGGGTAGAATAGAAACAGTTTTTAGTTTAAAAAAAACATTTTAAAGTCAAATTTATTAGCCTCTTTGCGCTATATACTTATATATATATATATATATATATATATATATATATATATATATATATATATATATATATATACATACACTGCGCTATATAGTCTACAGAACAAACCGTCATACAATAACTTGCCTAATTACCCTCACCTGCCAAGTGCCTGCTGTATAGAAGTGTCTTGAAAAATATCTAGTCAAATATTATTTACTTTCATCAGATAAAATAAATCAGTTATTAGAAGTGGGTTAGTAAAAGTATTGTTTAAAAATGTGTTGAAAAAATCTTTCAGTGAAACAGAAATTGGGGAAAAAAATAAACAGGGGGCTAATAATTTTGACTTCAACAGTACAATAAAAGTCAGGTAATTAAATTAAAAGCACACTATATCAGATTTTAATCTGTTTTTAATCTTTTTCATTTGTTCATTGTTGTTCTTATTTTCTTATGCTTGTTTCTTTCATTCTTGTTTATGTAAAGTAATTATATATAAACTAGCCTTGCTTTTCCCAAATTGTACTTAAAAAGGAGTGTCTTTATGAATAATGATATAATAATTTTCTAGCATTTGTGACCCTGGACAATAAAACTAATGTTAAATGTTCAATTTTGGAAATTTAGATTAGTATATCTGTTAGCTGAATAAATAA